CAATATGTCGTCAATGAACACAATCAGCGAGCGATCCAACATTGGCCTGCATACTCTGTTCATGAGATCCATGAATACCACCGATGCATTGGTGAGCCCGAAAGGCATCACCACAAACTCGTAATACCCGTAACGAGTCCTGAACGCTGTCTTCTGGATGTCCTCATCTCGCACCCTCACCTGATGATATCCCGACCTCAAGTCGATCTTGGAGAACCAAGATGCTCCCTGCAACTGATCAAACAAATCGTCGATCCTCGGCAACGGGTAACGGTTCTTGACCATCAACTTGTTCAATTCCCTGTAATCAATGCACATTTGGTGTGAATCATCCTTCTTCTTAACAAAAAGGATAGGTGCTCCCCATGGCGAACTGCTCGACCGAATAAACCCCTTCCTCAGCAGCTCCTGAAGCTGCGAGGATAACTCCTGCATCTCTGGAGGCGCAAGGCAATAAGGTGCCTTGGCGATAGGCGCAGCTCCCAGAACCAAATCGATGTTGAACTCAACCTGCCTCTCGGGAGGCACACCCGGTAACTCTTCTGGAAATACATCCGGGAACTGACGCACTATCGGAACCTCATCAATTGACCTCGGTCTCTCTGAATCAACCCTCGTATCCATCACATATGCTACAAACCCCTTACAGCCCTACTGTAGACTCTGCCTCGCTCTAGCGGCTGAACAAAATGTCGACCCAGAATGCGTACCCTCACCGTATATGGTAAGAACTTCCCCACTAGGGTCTCGTATGGTGACCAACTGTCTCTCGCAGTTGATAACCGCTCCAAACTTGCTCAACCAGTCCATGCCCAAGACAACACAGACATCTCCCATCACAATAGGAACTAGATCAATCAGAAACTCGACGCCGAAAATCTCGACTACACATCCTCGGAATACCTCGGTGGCATACACCACTCTCTCGTCAGTTATGGAAACTCTCAGAGGTCGACTCATCACCTCCCGACTAATAGTGATGTGTTGACTAAAACCCAAAGATACAAAAGAACGACTCGCACCCGAGTCAAATAAAACCAAGGCAAGTATAGAATTCACAAGAAAAGTACCTACGCATATCATAATATAAGAACAATATCTCAATATAAAAGAAAATATATGAAAGAATACATACCAGCCACGACATTGGGCACTGCCCGGATCTCCTCCACAGTCAACTGGAAGGGTCTCCCTCGCGCCTTCGGTACCTCGGCCTTCATTGGCCGGCTCTCAGTAGCTCTGATAGCAGCAGGGGTAGATCCCTGAGGTGCTCCCTGGGTAGTCCCTTGTAACTGTGGACACTCTGCCTTGAGGTGTCTGGTCTGGTTGCAATGAAAGCATACTGCAAACCCCTTGGGGCAATCCTTGGCCATATGCCCATCCTTGCCACATTTGTAGCAAGACCTCGCTCTGCACACCCCCTCGTGGCACTTGGCTGCTGGCTAAGATTGTGTTGGTCGCCGATCCCTCGCCTGAGACTCAGCCTCCTCCCTAGCCTGGGTCTCCAGCTTTATCTCTGTCTTTCGGGCATTTACCTGAAGCTCAACAAATGTCCGATACATCGAGTTCGCAACGAACTCCCGTATCTCCCTCCTCAAAATGCTCAGATAGCGCCTCATACGTGCCTGCTTGGAGGATACATGCTCTGGGAAAAAAATCGCCCGCTCATGGAACTTCCTCGTACTCACTGTGACAGAATCGGTACCCTGCTTGAGGGTCAAAATCTCCTGCTCCAAACGCTCCCTCTCCACCTGGGGAACGTACTCATCCCGGAACATAGCAGTGAACCTCTCCTAAGTTATTGCAGCAAGCTCAGCAGGCGAATAATGCGTCGTCACTAACTTCCACCAATCCTTCGCTACCAAACGAAGCTGGTTCAGCCAAACGAGCAAGTAAAGAAACATCCCTCTATGCCTGATATCCACCTCATCGCTGCAATCGGGTCCTGGGTCCCATCAAACTCCTGTGGTTTTGTGTTGCTGAACTCCCGGAACAGCAACGCATCACCACCCTGCAGTCTGGCCGCAGTTACAATTGCAGTGGCCGCATCAACAGCAGCCTCAGAAAGAGCAACATATCTCTCATCAATTGTCTCTATCAGGGTGGTCTTAATAGACCCGAACATCTATGGAATCTCGTCGCAGATGACAACAGCCACCTCATCATGAATCATCTGGCGCAGCTCCTCGTTGCTCACATCCCCTTTACTAGTCCCTGGTCTGTGGCGTGTCCCTACCATGATGCCTCTCTGAAATACAACATAATATATCAGTAATTTGCTCGGATGTACACACACTCGATATCCCAACCCTACTTGATCTCAAGTACCCTAAGAATTCTTACTTGAGCTGCGCACTGACCCGATGCCTTTGATAGTACGGGTCCAATACTACCGACCACACTGACTCAACATTCACACTAAGTCCACCTCCCAGAGCCCCAAATCCCAAGTACACTATTCACTCTAATCATGTGCTACTCACTAGTAAATCTCTCATAAGCTCCTTGCTGCTATCTCAACACTCTCAAGCATCCCTAGTAGCGAAACTCCTAGACTAAGGCATCATATATCAGGCCACTCTAGTCCTAATAAGAATACCTAGTCTTACTCTAGCATGCATACTATAATTCATCATATAGCATAGCATAATGTTTCTTTTTAAACTTATTGTAAGGGTATTTTGGGAAATCACCGTTCGGGTGCTGGCTGATCGTACACACGGCTCTGCTCTGTTTGTCTCAAAACTCTTTTTACTCTTTTTTTAAATTTTTTTTTTACTTTATTATCAAATTTTTCCTCAAATCCTCAGTTTGAGTTCAGATACGCTCGAAGATGCATCCAAATCCCTCAAACCAAGGCTCTGATACAAAATTGTAACACCGTAAAATTTAAAACAATTTTTCACATTTTTAAACATATTTTACCAAACACATTTAAAAGCAAAATCCCATTGTATCAATACCTTGGTTCACAAAAATATTTCCCAAGATCAAATACATAAAAATCCATGCGTATGTACGAGTCATGCCAACACCTTCCTGCGATCATCACTGGTACCTGAAACACAACACAAAATACCATACATAACCCGTACTAGCCACTCGAGGCTATAACTTTGTGGGCCCGTGGGCCCTAACTCCGTGGACCCTCTGGTCCTAACTCTGTGAACCTTTCAGTTCTAACTCTGATATACTCTGATATACACATGATATAAACCACATAGAAACGATCCAGTATAACACATCACATAATAGCATATGATAACTCTGGCACGTGACTCCAATTACCACTCCAGGTAAAGTATACTGAGAAGACTCACCTCGGATGTCTCGGTAAATCTCTGACTCGGTAGGAATACGATCTAGCCTCCACCTAATCACATAAAGTAATACTCTCATAAATATAACTCTCAGAACTAGACTCATCCCTATCTAGGCACCCTCGGAAGGGTAAAAGACCATTTTACCCATCCTTTGGCTCAGAGGCCCTCAATGTTGACCAAACCCTAAAAGTCAACTAAAGTCAACGGTCAAACTTTGACCTGACGCGTCAAGTGCACTTGGACAACTCGGCGAGTCCATACATGTCAACTAACTCATAGTCTCGCTTGGCATGTCGAGTCCCTCCCCTTGCTCGATGAGTCACACCTGGCATGAATCGCGGGGCTACCCCGACTAAACTCACCGAGTCTCAAGATTAACTCGGCGAGTTCCGTCTTGAAGTCCAGTCTTCTAATCCCTCTATGACTCACTGAGTTTTTCCCCCCAACTCGGTGAGTCTACTCGCTGAGTGATTTACAGGAAACCCTAACCCTACTCGCCTAATCTGATCTTTGGACTCAGCGAGTTCATGCTATGCAAACACTCCATTGACCTCCTGAGGTCAGATTTGTTCCTTAAACCCATAGATCTGACCTTCCCAAGCATGATAATCACGTAAAGATCGGACCTTGACACTCATATAACATCTAGATGATACTACTTGGTGATTTAGCCCCAAAAATCAACGCCTAAGTTCATGGCTACCAAAATAACCCATAAAGCTCCATGGGTTAAGGTCTCTGGACCTCTTTGAGTCTAGATCCAAAGCATAAACTCGAGAAGGGACCAATTGTTCCACACATCCATTCTCTAAAGGGGGTTAGAAAACCCTAACTCTAAGAATCAACACCAAAACCGGAGAAGGACTGAAATAATACCTTAAGATGAAGTCTCTGAACCCTGAAAGCACAAGATCCATTCCTCCTTCAACCTCCTCTTGCCTTGGTCACTTCCCTTTTGCAATCACACCAACAAAATGATCAAAAGTGGCATCTTCTCCCTCACAAACGCTCTAGATCTCTTAGGGTCTCTCTCTAGGGTTTGGTAGCCGCAAATGACAACCCTAAGGGCCTTTAAATAGGTGTCAAACCCGGGAAATTAGGGTTTCATTAAACAGCGTGGACTCGCCGAGTCCACTCATGGACTCGCCGAGTCCAAACGCGAACCCGGATGATGATCCGCGACCTTACTCGGCGAGTCTAAGCATCAACTCGCCGAGTACCTTCACAAATTCCAAAAATAAAATATTAGAATAATATACCTGGGTTTCCGGATGTTACATACAAATTAATGCATTTATGGTCTATACCATCTAATTAGTCGTTGTTACAACTTGATCATGTACCAAGATCACTTCTTGGGTAATAGAGATATTTAATCAATAGAAAATTATAACAAACAAAAAACTAGAAATGCAGTTTTGACATTTGAATTGGCGAATATAAGGTAAAATTTCCAAATATGAATTTTTTGAATGGAAATGGCACTTTAATATATATATATATATATATATATATATATATATATATATATATATGAAACAATTTTTTTTTTTGGAAAGGGACTTCCCTAAGGAAACATTTCTACATACTAATAATATGTTTATTGTCATTAACGTAACATATACACCTCAAAAGAAATGAAGACAAATTGTTGGTCACTTGGTCTACAAAATATCATTAAGCATGCAATAGGGAAGTGAGCTCAAAAAATTGATCTTCTTCGCATGAAATAGTTAGGCCTCCCATTGGATGATCAAACCCAAATTCTTCCTCCGACTGACGCAACAACTCTTGAAATAACGGTTGTTCCAAGTATGAAACGGGGACCACAAACCGCCTCTTTTGGTTTTCACCTACATACACTGCTAGGTGACCTTTCGGCACATCCCCTTGATAATTGCTGTTGCGAATGGAGTTCAATTTGGTAAAACTCTTTACATTGGAAAGCAATGAAGAAGATAACCGCATAAGACCCATGCCTAGGAATGTGATAAAAATAAAATAAAGACGTATATATGTTATTAAAGAATACTATTACAAAGTAGCTTTGGATCTCAGACGAGAATGGATATGAAACTTGTATTCTGAATAGGGTTCCAGGCATGCATTTATAGCTAGCTTGGCAACACGTCTAGAAGGGTGGAACCTCACATGGCTTTCCTCATCAATCATCAGCATCTTTTCCGAGAAAGTACTTAATAAAAGAAGCGCGTATAAGTCGTAAAAAGAAGCAAGTATACTAACATTTATAGATTATAGATAAGGCATCTTTATGGCGACACCTCAAAATGAGGAAAAAAGAAAAACACTGTTGATTCACATACACTTCCACCGTCACTATAAAACGTTTATACGTATTTCTTTATTGTTTATTACTTATAATTATAATTTATTTTATATTTAAATGTGTTTATTTATTTTTATTTTCATGCAAACATACAATTAATTACAACACTAATGATTAAAAGTTATAGCCAAGAGTTTTTTTCTTGTTTTGTACTTATTGATTTCTTAATGTAGGTTTCTAAATAATTACCAAACATCATATAAATGAAAACAGTAGTATAAAATAATTTAGATGGCTTAGTATTTATCACATGGAAATTAAACGTCCCAAAAAGAATTGTCTAATAGTCTCAAATACATAAATATTGGGTGACACTTTAGTAACTAATTTGGAAGACATCATAATTGAAATTAGACACATTCTTAGATTTTTTTTGAACGACGGAATTTTATAAAAGCAAAACTCGCAAACATGCTATGATACTTTGTTACACAAGATGAGACCTATACGATACAAACATTCCCAGTGTAACTTTCTACCAACAAAATTAACTAGGAATACATATATCGAATCATACCTTTTTGGTGAGTTAGTAGAGCCAAATTCCTTTTTGTCTTGAATGATTTAGAGCACAAAGGAGAACTCATCTAATATGATCGCACCCAAAAACAATGATCAAGCAAGATGAGACAACACCTTCTTATTTTCCTTGACAAAACTAAAATCTTAACAGTGGCGGAGACAAAACTAAAATAAAATTTATATATTAAAATATACATATAAATTTTATGTATATATGTAAGCTTAACTACCTTGCACCCCTAGTTCGAAGTATTAAACCATGCTGCTTGATTTTTTTTCTTCTCATGAATCAATGTGGTTGCTACCAAGAGTTTAGAGACAATATTATAGTATTCCACCATCAATTCGAAAACTTTTGTTAAAAAATACAATTTCAAGAGGCTTCATATTTTATCAGATTTTGATGGTTCACTTGTTATCAATTATGCGTGTACCCTATATTAAAATTTTTTGCTCCACCACTAATACTGAGTCATGTGAAAAAGGGTCGGAAAAGAGAGGGGATCAACTCTTGATATGAAAGGAACGATTCCTTTATTTTGTGTACTCATGATTCTTTTGAATACTTTTAGTTTCGGAGTAACTCACCTTTAGATAGTAAATTAATATAAAAGCCCCTCTAACTTCCCTTTTTATGATTTTATGCTTAAATCATATCTTGCTTGTAACCTAAAATGACCTAGCTAATTTTAAAAGTCACTAACTTGTTGTGACAATAGGCATATTTCGAACAACTTTGGCTTACCATCCATGTTTTCTCTAGGTTGTTTAGTCTCTAATGATTGATAATTGACGTTTAAAAAATGATTGATCATCTTTTTGAATTACCTACAGTTAGATTATGTGTGGGAATGGATTGGGACTACATTTGGGGTGCCTTTGGCTACCTCTATATCCTCAGGGTCTCTAACACCCCTCACAAATGCTCATCATGTTGCACTTGGTCTTGGTGTAGACCACAATATCATCTATAAACACAATCACCAACTGGGCAATCACCTGCAAACACGATTCTTGAGATCCATGAAAGTTGTTGGTTAATTGGTGAGCCCCAATGGCGTCCCCACGAACTCATAATGACCATAGCGAGTCCTAAAGGCCGTATTATATATATATATATATATATATATATATATATATATCATCCCTGAACCTCATCTGATGGTAACTTGTTTGCAAATCAATCTTGGAAAACCAATATACACACTGAAGTTGTTCAAATAAGTAGTTGATCCTTAAGAGTGGGTAACGGTTCTTCGTTGTTAGCTTATTCAATTCCCGGTAGTCAATGGACTTCCTATGTGAACCGTATTTCTTCTTCAAAATAGAATCGGTGCTCCCCATGGTGAGATACTCGGTCGAATAAATCCCTTGTCTAGTAGCTCCTGAAGCTGGTTAGACAACTCATGCATCTTCGATGGTGCCAAGCAGTACGATACCTTTGCTATTGGAGCCACACCAGGAACCAGATCAATCCAGAACTCGACATGTATCACAGGAGGCACTCCTGGCAATTCCTCAGGAAACACATTGGGGAAATCCTGAAAAATGGACACCTCACTCAATGACATCGTGCCCTCAATTGACTATCTGCCATATAGGTCAGGAACCCATAGCAGCCCTTCTGAAGATATCTACTAGCCCTCGTAACTGAACATAGACTTGGCCAACGTGAAGCTCCTTGTCATGAATAACTAGTTCTCCCCCACAGAGGATTTGAACTCTCACTAGCTTACGCTCACAGTCAATCATGGCCTTGTAGGGGCCCAACCAGTCCATCTTGATAATAACCTTCGACTCTCATAAATGAATCGACACCAAATCAATATAGTATATCTCGTTGAATAGATTCAAGACACACCCACGATGAACCCTCAAAGCACTTATAGAATGGCCATTCACAATATCAACATCCAATGGGTAATCCTGAATCTCGGGCTCATCATTAAACTTATTGCTAAGTGTAAGAGATACAAAGGATCAGGTAGTACCCGAATCAAACAACAAATGAATAGCCATACCATTTAATAAAAAAAGGTCCCTATACAATATCAGATATAACATGAGCATAAATAAGGAAAAAATAAAAGATATGATAAAGTCACATACCAGTAACCACATCCTTTGCTTCATGAGCCTTATCGATGGTTAGCTGATATGACATGCTCTTCACCACATGTTTCTCTAACTTACCCTGCCGGCTATCAGTTATCCTAAAGGTGGCTGGTGTAGGCGTCATCACTTCCCTTCCTGATAATCTCTTACAATCGACCTTGTTATGACCAGTTTTATTAGTATGAAAGCAAATCAAAGCACCCTGGGGCAGCGCCCTGCTTACATGACTCCTCTGACCACATCTAAAGCATCTTGAACCCATTATCTGGCATGGCCCATGGTGTGGCATGCCTCACTTACCACAATGGCTCCGACTATGTTGGCCTCTAGCATGCGAATAAGACGTCTTCAGTCTCTTAGCCTGGCCCACTACTGTCTAGACCTTTTCTGACTTGCACTTCTTACAAAGCTCCAACTTAATCTCTCGCTCACGAGCCTTCTGAATCATATCGTTCATGGTTTTGCACCCCCAAAAGCTCACAAACTCCCCAATGTCATCCTTCAAAATGTCACGATATATCATCTTCTTCATCTCCTCATCCACAACGTATTGCAGAACCAACAAAACCCTCTCATGGAATTTGGTGATGATCCCACCACTATCTCAGTAGTCTAGAGAAGGTCCTGTAACTCCTTCGTCAACCGATGCACCTCGATTGCTTGTGAAAACTCCCGTTGAAATATCGTAACAAACTCCTCCCAAGTCATGATCGTCATTATCGTAGTCCCCACAGTTTGGACAACCTTATCCCACAACCATATACTCGGTCCTTCAGTAGGCAGGATGCAAATCCTACATTTTCCCTCTCAAGGAAAAAACTAATCCGCTGAGCATTCTCCATGTCAGCGATCTGGCGTCGGATAGCGATGGCGTCCTTCGCCCCAAACAACTGAGGACCTCCACAAGCCTTGAACTCCCGAAATGAGGGGTTCGTGCTCCTAACTGACCCCCAGCAATCTCAACCCAAAATGCCCCGAGTCGCTCCTTCATAAGCTCCATAATCCCTTCCTTGATGGTACCAAACATCATAGGAGTAGCATCCAAGATATCGTGAGTAACCTCGCCCGGTATGATCTCTCGTAGTCTAGCATCAATCGGTTCTATGTTAGAGCCAAAACAATAACCTGAACTGAAACCTCCTCCAAGAGTGACCATCACCATACTCGAACTGAAATACAAACATATAAATGATCAACATAAACTTGAATAAATTCCCACACTACATGTCTACTTAGAATTTACCAATCTTTCCTTGTCTCGAGTACAGATCCTGTGTTTCTAGTAGTATGGACCCAATACTACATTCCGCACCTATTTGTACTTTCCTTAAGAACTGTCCCGAATCCTCTAAGCCACCACACTAAATTGATATGCTATTTTATACTGCATACATATTCTACTATAACATTTTCTAGACTCTTATAGGAATTTCTCAACTCACCCACCTCTACCATACTATGAATCTCATCCCACCTTGTTGGCTACTTTATGCATGTATGTTATACACAAAAAGGAATGACATAGATTGTCAAATGATCATTCTACCTTAAGTTAAAAACCAAACAAGGAACATGAAATAAAGCTAAATCGATCATTTTAGGGATATATGTGTTGGATTAGGTGTCTAAGACCATAACTATAAATGGTATGCACTAGACCCGATAGTAGCATGGTCATTTTGGGTTGCCTTCACCATAGCAACTGGAAAAAATGAGTTTTGGAGAAAGAGGTTAATTAAATAGTTTATTAATATATTATAGGAATAATATATTGGTTGAGAAATCATATTATTTAATTAGTATTGATCAGAAATTAATTTGGAATTAATTTAGTGATCAAAAGAGACTGATTAAAAGTACGGGGACTGATTATGTAAATCAATAATAGTTGTAGTTTGGGCTAACGGATCCTATTGGTATAGGGTGGATGAAAATCTATAGGAAGCCCATAGATTTTTCATCCAAGTCTTACCATGTGGGGGTCCATATGTTA